TTAAATGAGAACACCCCCTTCAAGCTGTAAATTATATAGTGGATATATTGAGAATCTAAAATAAATAAATTCATATTTCATAATGATAATGTTGATTTTATTAATTTATAARTTTTTAGATCTTTAGCTTTAATTAATAAATTAGTAATTTAACAAGAATAATACTATATTTTAAACTAAAATATAGTATATACCTACTATTATATACTCAAGAAACACTTAGAGAACATTTTAATTTATGTACTATTTGTATATTCACATATTATATCATATTGGAAATTTGAACTAATTATTTCTTCAACGATAGTTTTGATAATTTTATTTATGTTTTATGTACAATAAAGACTACCTATATTGTATACACTTTGTATAGGTATAGGTTAGAGAAATTACATCACGTTTTCCTTAGATTAGATTGGCAAAATATCGCCTTTATTGCGTCGTTCTCTAAGCCGTTTATGAGTAATGTAGAAACAGGTAACGTCCCTATAATGCTCGCCAAAACTTAGCAAACACTTGCACATTTATAATAGAAATATTCAATTTTTCCAGTTGTAGGTAGAACGTGATTATTTTTAAATGTGATAATATTTTTGTACGAAATATTATGTACAAAACTATCGTTTAAAGTTCTTTTTATATACCTACGTGTTTGGTGCTTGCGTTGTTTTTAATATACAAAATTTTAAATTACAAAATTGTAAACTTAAACTTAATGTTTGAGTTGTATGAATTGTATATAATATAATTTATGTCTAGCATAAAATATTTAAAAACAAAAACTTAAAAATTAAGATTACAAAGTAAAGAATAATAAATTTATTAGTATATAAATATTCGGCTACTACTGAAACGGATTGTTAAATTTAAATGTGTAAAAATAAATGAATAGAAATTGATTTTTAGTTGAAATATTTTAAATTATAAAATACAATATTAATTTATTTGTCAAGAATAATAAACATKTAGAGTACATTTTTGAAAGAAATTTAGAATTTGAAAACATCACATTTATTTATCTACGTATTAAATGAAACAGAATTCTAAACATGTTTTTAGTCAATTATTATGGTATAATTARTAATTATCTGTAAATTAAAAATGGAATATGTTTTATTTTTAAATACTTTATTAAATCATTATAATCATAACTCAAGATTAATACACGATTTGAACATTTAAATTATATTAAGAATTGTAGTACCTAATTTATATGATTATATTATATTTATTTGRTTCATTAGGTTCATAGTTAAATGAGGTGATTGAAATGTATATGTGTTTAGCTTAAATAATTAAAATATAATTTCTTTGAAAACGCAATATAATATGTTCGTAAAAGTTATAGTGTTTGCTCATGTAAGAAAGTCTGAAGGTTGTTATATTTCTTTTATCCATTAATAAGTATTGCTGGTTTTAGCTCCGTGAGGGGTTCTTAGAGTGGTATAAACATCCGAAATAGGCTGCAGTTTTACGGACGTGCTGCGGGTGGGTTCAAAGCCAATCGTGCACCTCACTCACCCTTTCCGCCATTGCACGTTGGGGCTTGAGGCGCCCATAATTCAATTTCGGATAACAAATTTAATTTGGGATGTTTTGGGAACAATTCGGCAGTAAACTAGTATGGAAGCCCTGAAGGACGAACAAGCTAACCTTTAAAAACCGAACAATACCCAGACATATCTGATTAATGTTTTTCCTTGCTCTTTCCCCATCCTAACACTATTTTCTTGAGAATCGTATAGATACGTACACCTCGTATTAACTGAATTATACTGTGCCCTTATATACCGCTATGTTTATGATTCGAAACGTGTAGTATGTCATACAATTAGAGGGCCTTTACTTATGGTAAAAACGTGATCAGAAATTAGTTGTATCAATGTGAAATGTACCTATTATTAAATGAAAAGATAATAGTGTCAGTAGACTAAGCCACGCAATACTATGTGTCTGTATAATATTATCAGAGTGTAGGTAAACMTTTCCCCATGAGTTAATTGATGGTGAAGAACACATCATATTAAACTATTTTTGACATTTGGGGTTAGTTTTGAAAGAAAAAGGTCCATGATTTTGAAAAAGATTAAAAAAAGGAGAAGAAAACTAAAATGTTAAAAAAAYGGTTATAGACCTCTTGGGATTTAAGAGGCTCGTCCAAAGGAGAATATATACTTTGGAAACTTTAAGGCTGTTTATTAAAGGTAAATGAACAGCCGTTTATTTTATGGTTTCTGGGTGACATTAGCATAATGATTCCCGCGATAGTGCGAAACAAAATAAAAATACAGGCAAAGTAGAAAGTAACAAAAAAGTGTTTAAATCCCAGGAATATGCTAAGAAATTCTGCAGGAAAACAGTACTTAGAATATGCACTAGGGAGTACTTCAGAACAATGAGGATAATTCTTGGATTAAAAAAATGTATAATTTATTTTGACAAGTATAAAGTTTTATCATTAAATGCTAAAAGATAGATGTCATATGCAAATATTTAAAAATTAAAATCACTAATGGGTTATTATGATATTTGGTTCATTATATTAATATATTCCTAATAAGAAGTTAAGAAGTATCTTTAGTTGTATATGCAGTGATACCTAAATAGAACATTATATTTATAACATATTGTATAATTTAAGTTTATTCTAATATTATAWATTATCAATCACAATAATATAAACTTTTTTTTAAATGCAATATCTTATACATACTATATACTATAATATATTATATTATTCATTTAGAGAAGCATTTAGTTAAATATTTTATAAATATTTTCAGCTTTTATTTGTTGGTTTTTACCTATCTACATAATAACTTTTCACATAAATTATCTTTATGAATTACATTTTTGTAGTTTGTTACAATAATATTATTGTTACTTATTATAATACTCACGTGCCTGATAAACGATTTATATTATAATATTATATCAAGTAATTTTATAAACAAATGCAATGTACTCGTACCTAGACTCAAATGTTTATAACTCATAATTTTAAGAATCAATTCAAAAATATTGACGAGATAAAAGTAAAGAAAATGCGATGTTTTGATAAGATAATATAGAACTATTAAGTGTCGGGTTTTTCTCCTCTATTCTCGTTAAAGTTCTCATCGTACCAGCTTTGTAGTATGCCATACTCGTGCGTGTTTAATATCGCAAATGTTATATC